CATGAATGAAAAGTCACAAGAATAAAGATAAAATTACCTCGATAATGTCGATCTTGATCAATCCCAAAACCTCTACCAATACTCGAGCTGCTACCACTTATTAGCTGCCAAAACCCGCTAAAAATTGGGTGCTAAAACCCCTATTTCGGTTGGAAAAACCCTAAACCCGTAACTGCAGTATCTATAAACTTGAAACGGCGCCATGGCACTACGGACGAAGAAAAACCACACCTGTTCCCCTCTTGACAGTGTCACGGTGCTGTCCATAGTGCCATGGCGCTGCATCTTCGGCCTTTCTGGCCTACAACGCTCGCTTCCACTGTTTTTCATCCTTGCTTTGACCCCAACGCGTCCCGATTTGATTCCAACTCATCTCTAGCACGTTCTGATGTCGTTTTGGTGCCATGAATCCCAAAAATCTCCCACTTGGAGACAAAGCTACAATTTTCTGCCTCCCACTACATCAACAGTGCCCCATCATCTTGACACCCTCTGTCAAGGCACAATTCTAACTGATCTGTCAACGAACTGATCCACATTGCTCGGCCCTACCCAAGCTCTGCCTGTGATGCCCCGAGATTGAGCAATTCATGTGATCATAACTGACCCAATGCTCCAAGACGCCACTTACACCAACAATGAAGAGAGTCTTTAAGAAAGACCCACCAAACGAAGGAAACTCCATTGGATCCAATAACAAATTTTGACCATTTTGAAGTCCAATGAATAACCTACTAGGGTCGAGAGGAAGCGAGGAATGGAGAAGAACCAGGCAAGAAGCCACCCATCAAGGACAAACCCATCAAGAGGCCACTCGCATGCATGCACAGTCAGGCACAAGCCACCCCGCGCACGCGCCACAGTGCCGTGCTAACCTCCTAGTGCATCCTTGCAGTGTGCCACATTGCCAAGCTAAACTTACAAGCTCCTCGCTTGCACGCCACATGTCTGTCCCGCACGCCCATACGCGCGCTGCCTACCCATGTTGCGTGCCCTTGACGTCGCACGCCTGCACCACAGCCCACCCCCACTTGCACGCCTGCACCACCCAGTGCCTTCGCGCGCCCCTGCTGTGTCGCACACCCTCACGCACTTGATAACTCTCCAAAAAAGAGTTATTGTAGTAATTATTTGGGTGAAAATATGCATTAAAATGTCAAAGTTTGTCGGTTTAAGATCATAATTAGCATTAATAGTGTTGAAATGTAAAGTCTTAGCTAAATATCCTAAGTCTTGAGAAAATTGGCCAAAAATAGCATAAACCCTAGTATTTGTGGTTCATTTACAGAGATTTTTAAAGAAGAGCTAAGAAGAGAAAGAAGTGTTGAACCAGAGAAGAGCAGTCAAAGCATTTTCAAGATAAAGCATATAAAAGCTGGAGCATAGCGATGCCAGAGCTGGAGTGACCGTATAGTTAATTCCAAAAACACAGGATTCACTTATGTCCGTACAATTCCCAGCCGGGTGCCCTAAAAACGGAACACAATATTTAAAGGGTATGTTGCCCAAGTCGACAGACACGCAGATCCCAAGAGAGAAAAAAATTGAGAGCTGAAAAGACAAGGGAATGGTATAAACCCATTTTCGGGAGGAGAGCTGATGTCAAAAGGGGGAAGCTCGCCTGCTGGAACGAGCTGACTGTTTTCTGTTATGGGTTGTATTTCTTCTTCTTCTATTCTGTTTTCTGTTACCCATTATGAGCTAAACCCCATTTTGGGGGAGATTTACATGTTGTAACTAACTTGAGACCGAACCTCTAACTGGTACATTTAATTTTAAGCAAATATGATTTTATTTTTTAATCTTCGCATTACTGTGACCGCTGTTTCGTGTAGGCTAGCTTCTGTATTGACCCAGAAGGGCTTATGGGTGCTAATTTGTTTTGCTTATGATTAGCGCTTTTCCATAGCTATTGGGATACTCAGGAATGGGGTCCCCTAATCATGCCTATAGCTTGGGTTTATTGCTTGGGTATTTAGCAACGGGAGTTGTACTTACTTATGAGGGGTGTCTCGGAAGAAACCGAGTCGAGCTGGGCACTAATAAATGTTAGCTACGCTAGAGGGTAGGTTGATAACTTGTGAAAGCATGCTAAATCTCCCTTGCCTTTTCCATATCTGTTATTCCCCCTCGCTTTCTGTGCTACTGCTTTCTTGTGTTGACAGCTTCGAAACTATTGTCTCTTGCAAGTTTCTGTCGGCTTGTTATTACTTTATTTTATTTTTGCTAGATAATATCCATACCCAATCTTGGTATATTTTTATTTGTTGGTATCTGCTTTTATTGTTAAAATACAACCAAAAATCCCTGTGGATACGACCTCGTTACGTACTACAACCTACGAATTGTGTATATTTGCACGTGTTGTCAACACAGTTGTGTGGACGCAACAAGTTTTTGGCGCCATTGCCGAGGATTTTTGCGATCTTATTTTAACATTGATATTTGTAGATACGATGCTGAAATGAGTTTTTTTGTTTTCACATTTTTATTTTACTATGTTTTTTTGCGAGGTGCATGAACGATTACGACGGATTGGAATATCTTATTGACCACGAAATAGAGCGCACCTTCCACAGAAATATACGAGAGCAGAGGCAACAACAAGCGGCAGCCAACATGGATGTAATGAATCCGCCAGTTCAACCTAATGCGCCTACAAGAGACCAAATGTGAGGATCGAGGAAATACTAGATGGGGCTCCTATCGCTGCTAACCCTGAGGTAGTAGTGCCCCCTCTCAATGCTATATTATTAGTAGATGACATTGACAGAGAAATTAAAACGTATGCAGCTCCAGCATTTTATAATTTCAACCTAGTAATCATGGAGACTGAAATTACAGCCCCAAAGTTTGAGCTTAAACCAGCGATGTTTCAGATGCTCCAGACAGTGGGTCAGTTTCATGGACATCCCACGGAGGACCCACATCAGCATCAAAAGTTTTTCATGGGAGTTTGCAATTTATTTAATGATGAAGGATGCAACAAAGATGTGTTGGAACTTAAGTTGTTCCCTTATTCACTCAAAGATGAAGTGAGGACTTGGTTGGAGTCAGTCCCTTCAGAATCGATTAGAAGCTAGGATAACTTGGCCGGACAATTTCTGATCAAGTATTTCCCACCAAGCAAAAATGATAAGTACAAAAGTGAAATCAACAATTTTCAGCAATTTGTTGGGGAGTCGGTTATGAGTCTTGGGAGCGCTTTAAACGGCTTCTGCAAATATGCCCTCACCACGGGATCCCAAGATGCATCCAGATCGAAACGTATTATAATGGTTTGGACGATGCCACCCGTCTAGTCATCGATGCGTCAGCAAATGGGGCTTTGCTAGCAAAACCTTATGCTGAAGCATTCAATATCTTAGAGAGGATATCGTCGAACAATCATTCATGGTCCGACTCTAGAGCCATCCAAGGGAGAGGAAGTAAGGGACTGAACGAATCAGAGTCTTTCACATCCTTAAATTCAAAGATTGAGAATTTGACAGATTTGGTTAGGATGAGTATGACGTAGCAAAACGCAGCTGGAGCATCTGATAGTAAGGCAAATGTTAGCCACGTCCAAGGGATTTCTTACTCTTTTTGCAAAGGAGACCACCATTACAACAATTGTCCTGGCAATCCAGAGTCGATATACTATTTCGGAAATGCTCAGAACAATGGAAAGAACTCGTATTCCAATACGTACAACTTGGGCTGGAGGAACCATCCTAACTTTAGTTAGAGCGAAAATCAGGGAGGAAACAATGTTGGTACATCCAATGCTCTAACATATCAGTAAAAAGGAAATTATCCACCCGACTTCTCANATCGATGCGTCAGCAAATGGGGCTTTGCTAGCAAAACCTTATGCTGAAGCATTCAATATCTTAGAGAGGATATCGTCGAACAATCATTCATGGTCCGACTCTAGAGCCATCCAAGGGAGAGGAAGTAAGGGACTGAACGAATCAGAGTCTTTCACATCCTTAAATTCAAAGATTGAGAATTTGACAGATTTGGTTAGGATGAGTATGACGTAGCAAAACGCAGCTGGAGCATCTGATAGTAAGGCAAATGTTAGCCACGTCCAAGGGATTTCTTACTCTTTTTGCAAAGGAGACCACCATTACAACAATTGTCCTGGCAATCCAGAGTCGATATACTATTTCGGAAATGCTCAGAACAATGGAAAGAACTCGTATTCCAATACGTACAACTTGGGCTGGAGGAACCATCCTAACTTTAGTTAGAGCGAAAATCAGGGAGGAAACAATGTTGGTACATCCAATGCTCTAACATATCAGTAAAAAGGAAATTATCCACCCGACTTCTCAAACCAAGATCAAGTAATATTGCAAAGGTCATCTAAAGGAGCATTTGCATCTTTGGAGAATCTAATGAAGAAGTATATGGAAAAGAATGATACCTCGGTGCAAAGTCAGGAAGCATCGCAGCGGAATCTGGAAACGTATGTGGGTTAGTTGGCAAAAGATCTTAAGAGTAGGCCTTATGGAGCGCTGCCAAATGATAATAAGGTGACCAAAAGGGATGGGAATGAGCAATGTAATGCTCTTACGTTGTTGAGCGGCAAGGTATTGCCTACTGCCCATCCAAATGCTCCAGGAATCCATAAATAATTAAATCAAGATGAAGGATGTGGGCTACAGACAAAAGAATGCGAGTCAGCCGGAACACCTATAATCATACCAGTTAAGAAAAGGGCAAACCTTAGGTTGTTAGTGAATATTAACGAGCAGATAATGGAACATCAAAAAAACACAAGTAAAGAGGTCGACCCAGTAGAAACGAGGGCAGTCAATGTCGGAGCATAAAAGTCAAGAGCAACCAGAAAGTAGAACCAGACGGATCACGAAAATGCTCCAGCCAAGTATCGAACCACACCACCATACCCAAAGCGGGTGCAAAAGAAAGAGCAGGATGCGCAATTTAGAAAGTTCCTTGATGTGCTGAAGCAGCTCCATGTCAAAATACCGTTGGTGGAAGCATTTGAGCAAATGCCGACTTATGTGCGCTTCCTTAAGGACATTCTCACAAAGAAAAGAAAGCTGGGAGACGATGAAACTATGGCAATGACTAAAGCCTGCAACGCTATACTCACGAGTAAAATACCTATAAAGATGAAGGATCTTGGAAGCTTCACCATACCAATGTCTATAGAAGGGCAAAAGATAGGCCAAGAACTCTGCAATCTAGAGGCAAGCATCAACCTTATGCCGCTATTAATTTATAACAAGCTGAGCATAGGAGAAGCAAGACCCACAACAGTCACATTGCAACTAGTAAACCGCTCCATCACGCATCCAGAGGAAAAAATTGAAGACGTTCTGGTACAAGTCGATAAATTTATTTTTCCTGCTGATTTTATTATTCTGGATTATGATGCGATAAGGAAGTTCCTATCATCTATGAGAGGCCATTCCTTGCCACTGGAAGAGCACTCGTGGGTGTCCAGAAAGGAGAATTGAAGATGTGCGTGCAAGATTAAGAAATGAAGTTCTTATTGCATGATTCTATGAAGTTTCCTGCTAAATCAGAAGAATGCTCAGTGTTGAAGATTTTAGATGAAGCTTTAATGGAAGAATTGAGTGCATAAGTCGTGCTGGAGCATTGTGTAAGTAAGGATGTTGCAGCTCAAGAATGTTTCGGTGATGAGAATAAAAAGATAATGGTAAAGGAAGATGCTACCACTGAAATAAAGATCTAAGCACCTGGAGAAGAGTATAAAAATGTTGAGCCGTCAAAAGCTCCAACACAGCATGCAGAAGCTAGTGAGAGCCAACCAAGTGGAGAGAGGGTAGATGCTCCAACATCTTGTTCCCTCAAGCAAAAACAAAGCCTTACAGTCCTTGTGGACAAAGTGCACATCATTGTAGAGGAAAAGTCAGTAAACTTACCCAAAAAAGAGCCACCCGATATCAAACCGATTCTAAAAACTTCAGAAGTAAGAACGAGGAGACTAAAAAGAGAGCTGGAATCATCATGCATCAAGGAGAAAAAGGCAAAACCTTCCAAGTCATCGGCCAAGGTATGAACCGAGCAAACGGAGGCAACTCTAGTCACCGCTTCCAACAAAAACAAAAAGGTAAACAAGAGAATTTTCATTGCCTCAGTTGTGGGGAAGAGGTATACTGCAACTATTTCACAGGAGCCTGCCGCAGCGGCAAAGAGAGGAAAGATCAGCCCACGGGCGACTCGTTGGATGAAAAAGAAGGCAAAGAATATTCACATGCTTGACCCGCGAAAGGGAAGTTCCTTTCCTTTTTACTCTGAAAAATTACCCCCCTCCCCATGTTATTTTAAATTTCTAGTTAGATTTTAATTTCTGCAGTTTACATTTTTGCATTTAAATTTTTATCTTTACTTTTATTGTTTAGTAGTTTAATTTCAATTTCAGTGTGTGTTTTATTTGTTAGTCAGATGTGAACCAATCCCCCTATATTAAATGAAAATTAGAATTTCTGGAAGTTTATGTGCTCTCATCTTCTGTCTATTGCCTCACCTTTTGTGAATAGTCGTTATGTTAGAGCTTGCTAATGTGCAGTATGTCTGCTGATGCTGGAGCTTTTTAATGCAAGCTAGCTTTCTTTTGGCCCAGCATTTGGTCCATGCTTGCTCGCCCATGCCATATCATCCCTCCAGCAGTACTGACCCCAAGTAGCGCTTACCCTATAGAAGAATTTCAAAGGCCACTTATCCAAAGCCACCCTTTATCTTTGTATAGTTAGCCTGGATTTCTCTTAATTCCCCTTATTTGGTAGCATTAGCCCTTCATATTCTTCAATATTTCCAACTAGCAAATTTTATTATACTTTACACTATAGTTTCGCTTTAAGTTTGGGGGCGTGCTAGAGCACTGTAACGTAGATGTCSTTAGTTGCATTAAGGACAATGCAACCTTTTAAGTTTGGGGGAGTGAACCTTCAGTTCTTACATCTTTAGTATATAACATGAATCTTTTTATTCCTGTAATTCAGCCCATTAAAAAAAAAAGAGCTCGCAATAAAGGAAGGCCTAGTAGCCGTATCCAGAGCATAAAGAGGCTGCAAGATTAGGAAGGGCTAGTAGCCCATGGTTGAAGAAACCCAAGTTGGCAGCGCAAAGTTTAAAGGTTTAGGTTAGTGAAAGGTAGTTTGAGAAATGGCTTTCTATGAGAAGCTAAGCTTGAGGTTGAGAAGTAGAAGAAAGTTGGGGCTGATTAGAAATAGCATCTTCCAAAGTATGAGCAAATCTAAGCTACTTTCATTCCCTTGCTTTAACTAAAGTATTTTAGCAGAGTCTTAAGCTTTAGCATAGTTGGCTAGAAGTAAAAGGTTGAGGCAGAAGATTAGATCGTTTGAAGTGCAAAAATTTCCAGTACCTTCTTTTATTTTCTTGAACTGAAATTCATATTCCCCAAGTATGATTTTAAGTTTGGGGGTGTGATAACTCTCCAAAAGAGAGTTATTCTAGTGATTATTTGGGTGAAAATGTGCAATAAAATGTCAAAGTGTGTCGGTTTTAGGTCATAATTAGCATGAATAGTGTTAAAATATAAATTCTTAGCTAAATATCCTTAATCTTGAGAACTTTGGCCAAAAATAGCATAAACTCTCGTATTTGTGGTTCATTTGCACATATTTTTAAAGAAGAGATAAGAAGAGAAGGATGTGCTGAACCAAATAAGAGCAGTTAAAGCATTTTCAAGAAAGAGCATATAAAAGCTGGAGCATAGCGATGCTAGAGCGTGGAGTGACCGTACAGTTAATTCCAAAAACACGGGATTCACTTATGTCCGTACAATTTCCAATCGGGTGCCCTGAAAACGGGACCCGATATTTAAAGGGTATGTGGCCCTAGCCGACAGACACACAGATCCCAAGAGAGACAAAAATTGATAGCTGAAAAGACAAGGGAACGAAATAAACCCATTTTCGGGAGGAGAGTTTACGCCAAAAAGGGGAAGCTCGCCTGCTGGAACGAGCTGACTGCTTCTTCTTCTCTGTCATTTAGCTATTTTTCTCTTATGGGTTGTATTTCTTCTTCTTCTATTCTATTTTCTTTACCCATTATTAGCTAAAACCCATTTTGGGGGATTTACATGTTGTAACTGACTTGAGACCGAACCTCTAGATGGTACATTTATTTTTATGCAAATCTGATTTTATTTTTTAATCTTCGTGTTACTGTTGACCGCTGTTTCGTGTATGCTAGCTTCTGTATTGACCCGGAAGGGCTGATGGGTGCTGATTTGTTTTGCTTGTGATTAGCGTTTTTCCATAGTTATAGGGATACTCAGGAATGGGGTCCCCTAATCATGCCTATAGCTTAGGTTTATTGCATAGGTATTTAGCAACGGAAGTTGTACTAACTTATGAAGGGTGTTTCGGAAGGGAACCGAGTCGAGCTGGGCACTAATAAATGTTAGCTACGCTAGAGGGTAGGTTTATAACTTGTGAAAGCATGCTAAATCTCCCCCGCCTTTTCCATATCTGTTATTCCCCCATTATCGCTTTCTGTTCTGCTGTTTTCTTGTGTTGACAGCTTCGAAACTATTGTCTCTTGCAAATTTCTGTCGGCTTGTTATTACTTTATTTTATTTTTGCTAGACAATATCCATACCCAATCTTTGTATATTTTTATTTATTGGTATTTTCTTTTATCGTTAAAATACAACAAAAAATCTCTGTGGATATGACCTCGTTACGTACTACAACTGATGAATCGTGTATACTTGCACGTGTTGTCAACACAGTTGTGTGGACGCAACAGCGCCCCTTACCGCCAGTGCCCGAGGCACGCGCGCACTTCACCCGCTAGCACCCATGTGCAT